GACCCTCCCGGCGGCCAGGGAGGCTGAGAAGGGAGTCTTCAGCCAGGCAGCCGCGTCCATCCAAAATCTCTACAGTCGTGTTTCTTGCGTGCACGGTGGGCGCTGACTAGTAGTTTCCACCACAGGTAGAAAGGATGGGGTGAGTGGAACAGCATTCACGGTGGGATGGAAAGGCAGAGAGGTGGGGAAGTTCCTGGTATAGGTGAACCAATCGGCTTTTCCTTGGGTGAGGAGCAGGGTTCTAGGATGCAAGGACAGGGGTGTGGGTGGGTGGGGCTGGAGAGGGCTGGGGTCCAGACCAGAGAGGGCCCGAACTTGGCCCCGAGGAGTGACTGTGTGTCCACACGTCCAACTCTGTTCACACCATCTGCCAGCAGCTTCCCTGGGCCGCCCTCGGGTCTGGGCTGTGAAGACTGGTGGTGCAGCCCGCTCTGCTCCGGGGGGAGGAGGAGGGGAAGAGGCCTGGACAGGCCCGGTGGCTCAGGGCCATCTGAGCAGGGAATTCCAGGCACTGACTGGCCTATGGTCTAGGAGGGGCAGGGGAGGCATCGGGGACTGTTCTCTTAGACTCCTCACCTGCTGGGGAGGGACAAACTGGAAGACAAAGGTCAGAGGGAAATCTCCCGAGCAGCATCTTTCAAACTAGCAGCCCGGTAGAACCAACCGGGATTACAAAAGACATGGATGCCCAACTCCACCCTCTGGGGACTCAGATTTAATTGTTCTGGAGTACAGTCTAGACAGTGGTATTTTAAAACAAAAGAAATTCCTCAGGCGATTCCAATGCACTGCCAGGTTTGAGATGCCTTGTTCTAAAGCTCAGGTCTGGGGCGGTGCTGCCCTGGGTCTTTGTTGGGCAGCAGGATGGCAGGGTGGAGCCATCCCCTGGGTGAGGTGGGCGTCTATTTGAAAGTCACTGCCCGTCATCTGTGAACACCTTCCCTACGTTTGTGGAATTCTGCCCCCGGACAGTGTTGGTGGCTCTGACGCTGACTTCCCTTGTCTCCTCTGCAGCTGGGCGCAGACAGCAGACTCACACGGCCTGCGCGTTGTGGCCGCACCAGATGTTGAATGGGAGGCGAGAGAGGTGGCCCAGCGGGCCCAGTGCAGAGCCCACTGCTCGGGGAAGGGGGAGTCACAGCAGAAGTCCTGCTGGGGGTGCCAGACCCGCCCTTTCAGGAGTGGGCAGCCCCCTCGTTGTCTGCACCCAGGCTGCGCAACGAGATTTTGGACCCTGACGCTCTTTTCCCTCCAAGCTTGGTTTCCAGAGACATTGTGATCGCAAATCCCTTTTCTCCTCCAAACAGCTTGAGTCAGTTTAGGTTGTTTGCAATGAACATCAACAAACACTTAATTGAGGGCCTATTACATACCAGACACTGCTCTAAGCCTCTTAACTTCAAAACAATCCTATGAGGCAGGAACTATTTTATAGGTGAGGACAGTGAAGCAGAGGGGGTAAGCCACCTGCTGAATGAAGGTCATACAGGGAGGATGTGGATTTAAACCAAAGCCACTGGGTCCCAGAGCCTGTGGGCCTAAACCTATATGGTTGTTTGGGGTTATTATTATTGCTTTTCTCATTTTTTGGATGCTGCGACTGAGGCTCAGAGAGGCACAATGACCTCCCCAAGGCTACCCAGTGAGGATGCAGACCCAGAAAGCCCAGTGAACCTTCTCATCCCGTCTGGGCTGGCCAGGTGGTACAGGTGACCCCAGCAAGCCGGCCATGGCGCCTCGGTGCCCAGGGGGCTGGTGAGATTGCCGCTGATGAAAATAACTCCGCTGCCCACTGCGATCATTTCAGTCTAGGCCTTATCAGCCCGAAACTTCCTCCAAACATATCTCGGCCAGGCACTGGGCCCCAAATTCCTGGTGGGTGATGCGTGCTCTGTCTGTGATAAGAGCCCTGGCAGGGGTCCGAGGGGACGGCTGCCTTGGCCGCATCTCCGGCTCAGATAACAGAGGCCGGGAGAAGTGTCTCCACTTTATCTGTGGAAAGCTGGCCAGGCCCTGGCTCCTGGGCTGCAGGGCAAGCCTGAAGCTGGCTCACTAGCTCCTCCCCTGGGACCCGTAGGGGGGAGGGACGACACCTCCAACTGCCCCGGGCCACCTCCCTCCTTAGAGGGGACAGATTCAAACTGTCACCTACCCACTCATCAGATATTCACTGAGCACTCCCTTGGACCCAGTCCCATTTAAAGTACAGATAGTCCTTGACTTACGATGGATCAATTTAGGATTTTTCAACCTTACGACGGTGTGAGATCGATACACATTCAGTGGAAACCATACTTCATACAACCGTACCCATACAACCATTCTGTTTTTCACTTTTAGCACAATATTCAATGAATTATGTGAGACATCCAACAACACTTTATTATAAAATAGGCTTTGTGTTAGATGATTTTGCCCAACTGTAGGTTAACGTAAGTGTTCTGAGCACGTTTAAGGTAGGCTAGGCTAAGCTATGATGTTTGATAAGTTGGTGTGTTAAATGCGTTTTCTTTTTTTTTCTTTCTCTTTCTTTCTTTTTTTTTTTTTGTAGACAGGGTTTTTCTCTGTCTCCCTGGCTAGAGTGCTGTGGCATCATCACAGCTCACAGCAACCTCAAACTCCCGGGCTCAAGCGATCCTCCTGCCTCAGCCTACTGGGTAGCTGGGACTATAGGCATGCGCCACCATGTCCAGCTAATTTTTCTATTTCTTGTAGAGATGGTGTTTCACTCTTGCTCAGTCTGGTCTCTAACTCCTGGCCTCAAGTGATCCTCCCGCCTCAGCCTCCCAGAGTGCTAGGATTACAGGCGTGAGCCACCGCACCTGACCTGCATTTTCAATTTATGATATTTTCAACTTACAATGGGCTTATGGGAACATAATCAAGAATCGGGGAGCACCTGTACTTTTGGTCTGGCTCATTTCAGTTTATTTGATCTTCCCAGCAACCCCATTAGGAAGGCCTTGGTATCATTATGTTCATTTTGCAGTTGAGGAAATTAAGGTCCAGAGAGGTGAAGTAACTTGCCCAAGATTACACAGCTGGTGTGTGGTGAAATTCTTAACGACCCAATTATCCTACGTATAGTCATTTATGAATGAATTTAAAAAGTCATCAAATGACAAGTACTTTGAAGAAGAATGCAGCAGAGTAACAGGATAGAGAGTGGCAGTTGCTACCTCTACTGCGGTCTCAGGGAGGGCTTCTCTGGGTCTGTGGCATTTCAGCTATATCTCAATGCAAAGATGAGGCAGCCATGAGGGTCTGGGGGAAGAGCATTCTAGGCAGAGGGAACAGCAAGTGCAAAGGCCTTGAGGCAGGACAAGCTCCAATGGGGAAGAGGGCCCAGAGAGCAATGGGCCTGTCCAGGGGTAGACAGAAGCTGGGGCAGGCTGGGCCCAAGTTCTCAGTCCAGGCTTTGGCCCCTCCAGGCCCTCCTGGCTCCTCTGTGGGCAGCCCCATCTGAGCCAACGGGCCATTCCTGGATTCACTTCCTACCAGCTGTGTGACCTCGGGCAGGTGGCTTCCCTTCTCTGTGCCTTTGCTCTTGGCTACCTCACCCCTGTCATGGAGTAGGGGTGGGGCACACTCTGGGCCCATGGCTTCTGCCCAGATATGAGGTGACTGCTGGGCCATGTGTCTCTGGACAGGGATGGGAGGTGGTTCTGAGCCTCAGATCCTAGACAATGTGGCCCCAGGACTGAGAGAGACACAGAGACCGAGAAAGAGTCAGAGGGAGATGCAGAGACCAAGAGGGACAAACACTGAGACAGAGAGAAAGACTGACGTTAAACAGGTGGAGGCCAGACACGGTGGGGGCTCAGGCCTGTAATCCCAGCACTCTGGGAGGCCAATGGGGAGGATCACTTAGGTTCAGGAGTTGGAGACCAGCCTGAGCAAGAACGAGACCCCTGCGAAAATAGACAAATTAGCTGGGTGAGGTGGTGCTGGTGCACGCCTGTGGGAGGCTGAGGCAGGAGTATTGAGCCAAGGAGTTGGAGGTTGCAGTGAGCTATGATGATGCCACAGCACTCTAGTCTGGGTGACAGAGTGAGATCTTGCCTCAAAACAAACAAATAAACAAACAACAGAGATGGAGACCCAGAAAGAGACCCAGAAAGGGAGAGACAGATTGGGGGAAGAGTGGGAGACACCCTAAGAGAGACAGAGGGACAGGGGCCATCTGAATGAGACGCCAAGAGAAACAGAGATCTGGTTACAGTGACAGAGAGACAGGGAAAGATGCAGTGACCAAAGAGAACACGAGAGAAAACTGTGGATGTTCAAAATGCCACTGAATTGTATGTACATTTTAAAGTGATTAAAATGGTGAATTTTACACCATGTAATTTTACTACAGTTAAAAAGAGAGAGACAGAGACAGAGACTCAGTTGGAGAGGCAAAGACAGACAGACACACAGAGTCGGAAGGACAGAATTCCCAGAGCCTGCTTCTGCTCAGGCCTGGCTAGCCTTTGGGACCCTAAGGCGGTGTTGGGGAGGGCACGTGGGCTTGGGGTCCCTGTGCCAGAGTCCAGGCCTGCATTAGCAGTGGGCGTGCCAGCAGGCTGGGCGTTCTTGGAGCCCCAAGGGTAGGAAGTGTTCGGGGGGCAAGACTGGGCCTGGCCTCTGACAGGCCTGCCTCTTGGTAGTTTTGTACCCAGGCACCTCAGGCCCTCATAACGTGCCCGGAGTTGCTGGGTCCACCGTCCGCGTGGGGACACGGAGGATCAGGCGGGCTGAGACGGCCGGGCCAAAGCCCCCAAGCCGGTGCGCAGTAGTGCCGGATCCGGAGCTCAAAGTTTAGGCTGGGTGGGGGAAGAGGGCTGCAGGGAGGACTCCGCAGTGGACGCGCAGGGAGGCCTCTCCGCCCGCCCTGGTCTGCCCATCTGGACCAGGAGCCAGCGGCGCCCGGCTCGGCCCCCTCCCGGCGGGCGGCCGAGACCCCGCCCCGGAGGCGCAGGCGGAGTCAGGGGAGAGGCCGGGGCCGGCCCGCCCCGCCCCGCGCCGCGCTCGGTCGGGGGCGCCCGCACTCTCCCGGCGCAGACTGCGGGCGGACCGACGGACGACGCCGCGCCCAGTGCTGCGCGGTGAGTGCACGCGGACCCCTCCCGCCCCCGCCAGCGCGCCCCTCGCCGCGCACGGCGGGGGGCGTCGGACGCTCTGCCGGCCCCGTGGAGCCACGGGCGCGCCCCGCGGGCTGCCCACGCCTCCGCCCGCTCGGGTCTCGCTCTCCGAGTCCCAACGCGGGGACAGTCCTCCGAGCGCCGTGCCCCATTGTACAGATGCGGACACTGAGGCCGGCGCGGGGTGGGGGCTGGGGGTTCCGGGCGGGTCCCCGCACCCCAGTTCCGCCGCTTCCTCCACTGGGTTTCTCAAGCCCCCAGGTCCAGGTCCCTCCGGCCATTCCTCTTGTCCCACTGCCACCGCCCCAGGTCCCACCGCCCCTCCAATCCAGAGGCCGGGGCACCCCCCCCAGAGCGGGAAGAGTAGGGCTTCTAGGTCTGGCAGCACCCCCGCCATGACCCCACAGTCACACCACCACACAGGCACTCACACCAGAAGTTCCAGCACCCCGCACCAGCGCGCCCTTTACTGAGGTCACCCTGTCCTGCCTCTTCCCAGTCCCGCGCTCACCCCTGTGCCGGGTCCACACTCTCTCTCGCTGGGGTTCTTCCCGCTCGGCCGTCTCACATGCCCCTGTTGCACACACATGCTTCATACCTGCATGCCTTGCACACGCATCTGTCAGACGTGCATCCCTGCATGCCTGCGGACCCCGCCCTGCACCCCTCTTTGCTTCTCTCGCAAACAGTTGTGTCTCTATTGAAACACATGTGTTCGTTCTTCTGACACGGGCACACACATCTGCCACACAGAGGTGTCTGGGCACGCATATCTCCATTATGTGTCACGCATGTGTCCCTCACATACCTAGAGTCACAAACAGGCCCACTCTGGGAGTGCCGCACACCCCGTGAGTCTCGCACACAGCGTCACAGACGCCTACAACTTCATGGCCCCAGTGCCCCTGCCACCCCCCACCTCCATAGCAGCCCTCTTCTGTCCTGGGGGGTTGGGAGCTGGCCCTTGCTGGGAGGTGGCAGCAGGCAGGCAGGGATTGCTCTGGGCTGGGACTCCCTGACTTCCCCTATGGTGGGGCTGGGGTGGCTGTGGGGAGCGCAGGGAGGGGCTCAGCCTCAGCAGGGGCCCCGACTCCTTTCTACCCCCTGCATCCTCCCTCCCTCCCCCACCCCAGTCTCCCATACAGGGGATGTGGGGGTCCTCTCCCTCCATTCTAATAAGATCTCACCCCATCTCAGCTTCGTGGTGGCCACTTGGGCCCATCCAAAGCTGGTCTGAGCCAGCAGGTGTCGCCGTGACAGGCCAAAAAGAGAAAAAGGAAAGTGGATGGTTTCGGTGCTTGTGTCTACCCCATCCCCCTGAAGAAGAATGACCCTCTGGGCCCTGCCTGAGAGACTCCGCAGGAATTGGGTGGCAGCTGGGAGGTGTTCCCTGGGGCCGGGCATGGAGCGGGAGCCCATGCGGTGCATGTGTTCGTGGCTGAATGGCTGGGGTTCTGGACACCACCTTCCCCGTATGCAAAGTGGGTGAAGGTTCCCCACCAGGCAGAAGGGAGGGACAGGGATCAGTTGCCCTCGTGCCCCCATGACCTCCTGCCCTGCCCTCATGCATCAGAGTGCCTGGCGGGGAGTGGGCAGGGGATGAAGTCAAAGAATCCTGTTCCGGAGGCACAAGCCTGCCAGCCCTGGCTGTGGCTAGCCCTGCATGTTTTGTTTGGCTCTTACCATGTTGTTATTATTTTAAAAAATTAATTAGCTACCAGCATTTACAAATTGGCAGATTTCACATAAAAGTCCGGATTTCCGTCTTCTCTTGAAAAAGCGCAAGTTCTGGCAGTTTGGGGTCCGCTAGTGCTGCCGCCTGCTGTCCCCTTGCTTGTCTTGCTCCTGCCTGGCCTGCAGAGGCCTCTGTGCCGGCTGTGTCTGCTGCAGAAGTTGGGCTGTTTTTGCTGCATTGCCCGCCTCAAGGGCGGCGCTCGTGGCTGGGGAAGCCTTGGGCCTGCGTCCCACCATTCAGTGAGTGGTGCCCAGGGCCTGGACCACAGGACAGCTTGGTGGTGGTGACAGGCACTTTCTGCTGGGCTGTGGGGGACGGTGGCCTGGCGTCCCCGTGGAGGAGAGCAAGAGCTCGTGCCAGATAACGTACTGTGAGTAAGGCCTTCTCGGTCGCCTGTCTTCCAGATCTTGTCACCCATCCCACCAGGCAGGAGCCCTGCCCTTGCTGACAGCTGGGGAAAGGGAGGCTCCCAGCAAGCGGGAGGGCTGGGGGGCTGGGGTTCCGCTGGGATTTCCTCGGAAAGCAAAGCTCCACCCCCCTCATTGAGCCACTAGAGGGAGGACTTCCTTCACCAGCCCACACCTGACACACAGTGGGTGTATAACACATGCTGGAGCATGACTGAGGTAAGCTAACTGTTCTCTGTAGGGGTCAGGATGGAGCTAACTCCAGGGCCCAAAGTGAAAATTGGGTGGGGCTTACCTTTAAGGATCCTTTTTATCTGCGGGGAAACTCAGGGCAGGGTTCCTGCCGGAGTCTTGATGGCCACGTTCACTGTGACCCCATAACCACCACGTGGAGACCAGTGAGTCCCGGAGGCCTCAGGACCACTGTGGTGTGTCCTTTTGGACACTAGATGCAACGTTTGCTTTGCATTCAGGGGCTGTGGGGCGTGAGCGTTCCCCCTACACCATGGCTGGCCTTGGCTGTGAGGTGCCACACAGAGGGACGCAGGGCACCACATCGCATCAGGCCGGGCATAGTTGGTTCCCGCCTCCCAGCTTGTGTTGGGCTGCTGGGTGGGTGGCGTCAGGTGGGCAGTTGCTGCACTGTTTAGGTCCCAATTCCCATGACTGGGTGCTCTTTTGTCTGTTGTCTGCATGTGGCTGAATTCATGTAAACTAAACGCCCCTGTGCTGCGTGGCCTCCTGGCAGTTTGTTGCCTGGATGAATGGAGACCAGGCCTGTGAGCGGCACATGGGGCTGGGGGTGGTGGGCAGCCCTGGCCTCTTCCTTGCCTCTCCTGGAGAGGCAGAGCATAGCTTTTTTGTTTTCATTCTGCTGGGGAGGAAGGTCCTGGGCCTGACTGCTCAAGGTGGTGCAGAGGGCCGGGAGCCAGGGCTGGTCTACTGCTGGTCGCTGTGTGCTCCTGGGCATGCTCCTCCTTTCTCTGGGCTTCAGTCTGCCCTTCTGTAAAGTGGGTCCTGTGCTGGGCAGGTGGGCATGGAGTTCTAGAGTTCCATGCAGCAGGTGTGGCCACCTCTCTGGCTTCCTGAACTCTAAGGGCTGCCCCTTGCTGAAGGCCTTTCCCCGGGATGCAGTTCCAGCCTGGGACAGGATTCTGGGCACCGCGCTGTACCAGGCGTAAGGGCCGTCATGACCACTTGCATCAGGTGTGAGCTGCTGCTGGAGGCTTGGCTGTCCTGCGCTGGATGGGGGCCGTTTGCCCATCCTGGGCTGAGCAGGGTCCGAGCAACCCATGCTCAGGACATGCCCAGACACTGGCGTTGCTTCCACAAAGCTTATTTTCTAGTTGGAGGGGCGAGGTGGGGTGAGGCGGGCAGCAAGTGAATGAAGTTGTGTGTAAGCCAGCCAGGCAATGACATCCAGGGGGCCAGGGCGGATCCCTTTGAGGAGGGGATTTCTGAGCTGAGCTGGGAGTAGCAGGGGGTACCACTAGTGCAAAGGGCCTGGGGTGGGACCTGGTTGGTGTATGAGGGACAGAAAAAGGGAGGAGGCTGGAGCTGGTGAGGGAGGGGAGACTGGGAGACAGGGGCTGGGCAGGGAGTTTGAAAGCCACTGAAGTTTCTAGCCAGGGAGCAGTGAGGTCTGATTTCTGTTCTAGGACACCCTCACTAACTGTGAGACGGAGGCTTTGTGCCTCTGAGGGGGCTGTTGGTTGAGCCCGGCTGCCTGCTCACCGTGCATTGGCGCTGCTCCTCTGCCAGCCCCTGTTGGGGGCAGGCTTCACCTTGAGAAGCTGCAGACAGGTGGGATACCAACGGGTTGGCAGACGCTGAGATCCAGGGCGATGCACGCTGGCTCGATAGATGACAGCCCGTCCTCACGGGATGATTGTGGAGCTGTGAAAAACGAGGAAGCTCTCTATGGAAAGATCTTCAAGATCTGCTAAGAGGAGAAAACAAGGTGCCGAATAGTACGTACAGTGTGCTATCTCGTGCGTAAAATAAATATAAATTCACACTTCTCATATGTGCATATACAAACCAGGAGCTAGTTTCGGGGGTTACCTGTGGTCACCTGGGGTCGAGGTGATGAGGGTACAAGGGGAGGTAAGATGTCCTACTGTATGCTTGTTATAGTCTCTGGGTTTTGAGCCCTGTCACTGTATTGCCTGTTCATGTGACATGAAATTAAAAAGCAGCTAGTGGGTGAATGTTCATTTGTGAGTTTTAAGTGAAAGTGTTTAAGATGGTTTTAAAATACCCTGTGTTAACTGACCTTGTTTTTGAATAGACTTCTTCCTGGCGAAGCATATGAAAGTTTCCACTGTGATTAAAATTATAAGGTACCAAAGTCACTTTTTGCGAAGTCTGGCCAATGGACAAAAATTCTCTCCCCCTTTTCCTTCACCTGTGTTCCTGTGGTGTGTTTCCTTCTGGTGGTTTGACTGCAGGCTCTTCCTGGGGTGGGCATCACCGCGTTCTGTCCAGAGCCCGTTCTCTCTGTCTGCTCTGCTCACATGGAATTTAGGGGCAGGTCCAGGCCCTGGGGGTGCAGGGAAGTCCCCCTTTGGCACCCTCCAAGGTTCACATCTCAGCTTTGCTATCACACAGCCTTGAGGCCAGGGAGTCACCCCTCTGAGCCTCAGTATCCTCCTCTGTGAAGTGGCTGTCGTAATCCCTAGCTCTTGGGGCTGCTGGAAAGGGAACGGGAGCACATCTTCCTTCATTCGGCAGGTATTTTTGAGTATCTGCTGAGCGCTGGACACTGTTCTGAGTGCCGGGGTTAAGCAGGGACCAAGTCAGCATCCTCCACCCCGCAGAGC